GGGACAGAAACCTCTACAGAGGAAGCGTGCCCCTTGAGAAGTTCCAGGGCCCTGTGATCTTTCCACCACTCTAAGGTTACCTGCTCGTTGATGCTGGACATGCCATCCAAACATCTTTTTGGAGTCACTTAGAAAGCTTCCGGAAGTAAGTCTCTTTCTCTGTCCTGCTTATGTTTATGTTTTTCTGAAACCTGAGGGCCAGTCCATCTGGAAATTGAAGAGGATAGGGGAGCAGATGTGCTCAGTAACTGGCTCTTCTTCCTCTCATGCTGATGGGGTTGGGAGGTTCTGGTGGAGCTGATTGGGAGTGGCTCACTCAGCAGACTCTTGAACTGTGGAGAGTTCTGCAGCCTCTGATGGGATGATCTGGTGATCAAGTCCCACCAAGAATGCTCTCATACAGTAGTGTTCTGGATATGGTTGTGTTGGGGTTTGCCTCACCTCAACCAGCTTTTTTCTGTATTTGTCCTGGTCTTGAGTTTTTCGTTATGTTTGGTCTTGTGTCTCTATGAGGAAACTCAGAGCCTGCCTATGTGCTGTGTTCCCTTCTGCAAAGAAGCAGTTGGGAATGTGCAGGCAGCTGAAGACCTGGTTCAAAACAACTAGTTAATGTTAGGTGGTGCAGTGGCAGAGTGCTTGCTTTGCATGCATGAGGCCTTGGGCTCAAATTCCTCAGCACCATATATGAGAGAAAAAGTTGAAAGTAGCGCTATGGCTCAAGCTGTAGGGCACTCACGTTGAGCTGAAGAACTGAGGGACAGTACCCAGGCCCAGAGTTCAGGCCCCAGGACAAAAAAAAAAAAATTGTAAAGTGCTCCTGGCAAAAGACTGGGAGTGTCCTGTGTCTCTGTCCCCCTACCCTGACCCTATTTAGGCCTGGAACAGCATAGGTGCCAGGATGCTATGCTGCCATGCCATGTGTCTCTGTGATCCTGTCCTCTGTCCTGTCTCCTGGCTTATCTCTAGTCATCATGGCCTCCCAATTCAGTTCTTTTTTTTTTTTTGGTCCAGTCGTGGGGCCTGAACTCTGGGCCTGGGCACTGTCCCTCAGCTCTTCAGCTCAAGGCTAGCACTCTACCACTTGAGCCACAGTGCCACTTCTGGCTTTTTTCTTTTTGCTTATGTGGTGCTGAGGAATTGAACCCAGGGCCTCAGGCATGCAAGGCAAGCGCTCTACCACTGAGCCACCTTCCCAGCCCCCAATTCAGTTCTGATGGAGAGCTGATTTGGTTTGTTGGTATTGTTTTTGTTCTTTTCTTTCCTCTCTGACCTGTCTCCTAACTGTGTTAAGTGTATTTGAGGGATCCAGGCCTTTGTAACAAGTGGCTGTGAGCAGCCTGCAAACTGTAATAAAGACTCCAAAATTACATCTAAAAAAAAAAAAAAAGAAAAGAAATCAATCCAAAAATTCATATAGAATAATAAAAGACCCAGAATAGCAAAAACAATCCTTAGTATGAAGAATAGTGCTGGAGGAATATCAATACCAAACTTCTAGCTTTATTACAAAGCAATAGTATAATAGATACAGCTTGGTACTGGCATAAGAATACGCTGGAGACAAGCAGAAAAGGTCAAACGCTATGTACATATGACCATATAAGATGATGTTAAGTGAAATGAACCCCAAGACAGGGATGTAAGTGTTTTTATTTCTTGCTATTGTTTTTAACGTATTTATAATGTACTATGTGCTTTTGTTGTTTCTTTTGTATGTTCTTCCCCCATGGTTTAACCCCTGTTTTCACTGTATTTGATTCTGGTGCCCTGCATCTTGTATACACACTTTTCTAATTTGGGGAGGGGAAGGATAAAAACAAAATGCTTAGATAGGGATACAGGATGACCCATTGTAACAATGAGATGTATGAACTTTACAACTTGGTGGGGGGGGGGAAGGGAGGGAGGAGTTGGAGAGGTGGGGAAGGAAGGGATGGTAATGGAAAAACAAAGAAGGAGGTAACAATGCTCTATAGGAAATGCACTCATTACCTTACTCATGTAAGTATAACCTCTCTGTACACTATTTTTACAATAAATAACGTATTTAAAAAAAGACCCAGAAATAAGCCCACAAACACATAGCCACCTAATATTTGATAAGGGAGCCAAAAACACAGGTTGGAAGAAAGCCTCTTCAAATGGTGAAGGCAAAATTGGCTATGTGCACAAAATTGAAGCTAGATATTCATATATCACCTGCACCAGAATCAACCCTAAATGGATCAAAGAAGACAATGTAAGGCCAGATACTGTGAAAATATTACAGGAAGGGGTAGAGGAAACTTTAGGCCTTCTAGGAATGGGTCAAAATTTCCTAAATAAAGATTCAGAATCACAATAAATCAAGGAAAGACTGGATAAATGGGACTGTATCAAACTGAAGAGCTTCTGTGTGGCAAAGGGCAAAACTAGCAGAGATAACTAGAAAGCCTACAGAATGAGAGAAAATCTTCACTATCTATGCATCAGACAAAATCATTGTATCTAAAATATACTTAAGAGCTCAAAAAATTAAGCCTCCAAAAAACAAAGCTTGAAAAACTCAACAATCCAATCAATAAATGGGCTAAAGACTTGAAGACAGATTTCTCAGCAGAAGAGAAAAGAATGGCCAAGAGACACATGAAGTTCAACATCTCTGGCTATTAAAGAAACGCAAACAAAAACAACATTGAGATTCCAACTCATTCCAGTTAGAATGGCTATTTTCAGAAAAATTAACAATAACAAATGCTGGCAAGGATTTGGTCAAAAGGGAGCTCTACTACACTGTTGGTGGGAATGGAAACTTGCTCAACCACTCTGGAAAGCAGTGTGGAGTTTCCTTAAAAGTCTAAACATAGAGCTTTCCTATGACCCAGCAATTCCACTCCTGGACATTTATCCAATGGACCGCAAACAAGGCCACACTAATGCCACCAGCACAACCATGTTTACTGCAGCATTGTTTACCATAGGCAAGACATGAATCAACCTAGATGTCCCTCAGTGGACGAATAGATCAAGAAAATGTAGAATATAGACACAATGGAATTCTACCAATGCATCAGAAAGAATGATATTGTACCATTCATAATGAAATGGAAAGACTTGGAAAAAATTATATTAAGCAAAGGAAACCAGAGCCAAAGAAACAGGCTGCATGGTGTTTCCCTTATGTGGTAAAACTAGAAGGTGCCTTTAAATATACAAGTAAATACACTGAATGGTTAAATTTTTTATTTTTAATATTTTGTCAGTCATGGGGCCTGAACTCTGGGCCTGGGCACTGTTCCTCAGCTCTTTAGCTCAAGGCTAGCACTCTACCACTTGAGCCACAGCATCAATTCTGGCTTTTTCTGCTTATGTGGTGCTGAGGAATTGAACCCAGGGCTTTATGCATGTAAGGCAAGCACTCTACCACTGAGTCACCTTCCCAGCCCAAATGATTAGAATTTTTTTAAGTTAAATTAAAAAAAAATATATTTATATGCACACACACTGAGACATGATAATTATATAGACTTTCACACTCTGAAGCCAAGGGAAGATATGCAGAGGAGTGGTTGACAAAAGTTCAATAGCTATGTGCAGATAGATGATCATATAAAATAATATTCTATGAAATAAACTCCAAGAAAAAAAAGAGACATGTTTTTAGTTGCCACTGTTGCTGTTTTTGTTTTCTTTTCCTTTTGTGTTGTTTCTTACTTTGTATTTGGAGGGTAAGGGAGGGCACATAAAAGGTGGAACAAAGGTGAACAAACACAATAGTGATACTCACTAGATACCATGTGGAAAATGAACCTGATATCTCGTGGGTGGGGATGGGAGGGAGAGAGTGACAGAAGGGGAGACATGGTTCAAAAAGAATTGTACTCATTACCCATTACCTTATTCATATAACTATAATCCCTCTGTATATCAACTCTACAATAACAATTTAAAATAACTGTTTTATCTTATATATTTCTGCATATATTCCTATATATTCTGAAGTATATAAGAATTTTTAAGCTTTCCCCACCCCCCCCCCCACCCCCAGTCCTGGGGCTTGAACTAAGGGGCCTGGGCACTATTCCTGAGCTTCTTTTGCTCAAGGCTAGCACTCTACCACTTGAGCCACAGTGCCACTTATGGCTTTTTGTGTTTATATGGTAATGAGGAATCGATCCCAGGGCTTCATGCATGCTAGGCAGGCACTTTACCATTAAGCCATATTCCCAGCCCAAAATACATAAGAATTTTTAACAAGAACTACTATTAAAATTATTGTTAATATTTTAAGACAGACATCCTTTCTTTCTGTAAGGCTAGACAAGACACAAGACTTATGAACCAAGGGCCTTACACATGCTAGGCATGTGCTTTGTCACTAAACTACCATTTCTTTTTATTTATTTATTTATTTATTTTTGTCGGTCGTGGGGCTTGAACTCTGGGCCTGGGCGCTGTCCCTCAGCTCTTCAGCTCAAGGCGAGCGCTCTACCACTTGAGCTACAGCGCCACTTCTGGTTTTCTGGTGGTTTATTGGAGATAGGAGTCTCACGGTCTCTCCTGCCCAGGCTGGCTTTGAACCGCGATCCTCAGATCTCAGCCTCCTGAGTAGCTAGGATTACAGGCGTGAGCCACCAGCGCCCGGCTAAACTACCATTTCTATCCCTCTAGACTTTCCTTGTTGCACAAGCGTGATAATAGCACTCCTTTGTATGTGTGTTAAGAAAATAGGGCTGGGGATATTATAGTGGTACAGTACCAGATTAGCATTTCCAACGTCCAATCCCCAGCACTGCCCTAAAATCAACAAATAAAAAATATCCAGATAGTTGGCAGTGTTTCTTTCCTAAACACAGACATGTATACATTTACGATTAGAGATCTGTGAAATTCTTTGTTAATACTTTTTCTTTAAAATTTTCATACTACTTTATAGATTCTCAAAACAGAATATACCTTTCTTTTTATCTTTCAATAAGCACTTTTGCAATAAGTTCAATTTTGCTAAAAATGTTTCTTACCACTCCTCCAACAACTATGATTCCCACAGAAGTTCTAGATGTAAGAGAAGCTAATCCTGTTATTAAGGTGATCATGAGCTCCTCTTGTGCTGCATTGTCTGCTGTTCCTGGATTGGCAGGAGCAGTGGGAGTTGAAGCTAAAGATCTAGGAAGCTGAGAAGCAGAGAGAGGGGGGAAAAGGGTATTACAATCAAACAAAACTGTTATATAAAATCACTTTTGAAAGTTTTAATTTATCTTTAAGTAGTTGTACAAAGAAGTTGCCATTTAGCAAAGCACTTTATGAATACAATATATCTTAATTAATGTTACCCTTTCTACAATCTCACCCATCCGCTCCCCTGCCCACCCTTTCTCATACTCTTCTTAATTTTGTAGGATATACATTGGATTCTTGGTTGCACTTTCCGCCTCTTCTCTTCATTCCCCTCCTCCTTTCTTCTCATCCCACCACACCCCATTAGAGTACCCACTTCCTGGTGTTTTATTTATTTATTTTTTTTGGTCCGGTCGTGGGGCCTGAATTCTGGGCCTGGGCGCTGTCTCTCAGCTCTTCAGCTCAAGGCTAGCACTCTACCACTTGAGCCACAGCCCCACTTCCGGCTTTTTCTTTTTGCTTATGTGGTGCTGAGGAATCGAACCCAGGGCCTCAGGCATGCAAGGCAAGCGCTCTACCACTGAGCCACCTTCCCAGCCCCTCTGGCGTTTTATTTAGCAAAACGTTGATTTTGGCTTTCTAAGACTCTCCCTTCAATGCACTATATTTCAGTTAATATATACACCATCCAATGTGTTTACTTATGAATTTGTAAACTAAATCTATCTTCCTGGTCTCTCTGGGCCTGACTTATTCACTTAACCTAATTTTTTCCAAGTTGTTCTATTTCCTTACATTTGGTATAATAGGTATAATAATGTGGTATCTATACTACATTTTCTTGATCCATTCGTCCACTAAGGGGCATCTGGACTGATTCCATATCTTGGCTATGGTGAATAGTGCTGTACCTTGCACCAGCATTAACTAAAAATGGATTAAAGGCCTCAATGTAAAACCTGAAACCATGAAACTACTACAAGAAAGAGTAAGGGAAATACTAGGGTTCCTGGGCACAGGTAGAAACTTCTTGAATAAAGATCCAGAAGCACAGCAAAACCAAGGTAGACCTGATATATGGGACTGAATCCAACTAAAATGTTTTTACATGACAAAGGACATAGCCAACAAACTAAGATGATGTCTATAGAATGAGAGAAATTATTTGCCAGTTATATACCAGACAATGGCCTAATATCCAGCATATACAGAGAACTTAAAAAAGTTAAGCCCTCATAAAATTAACCAACAACCCAATTAGCAAATGGGCTAATGAGCTACAGTCTTCTTAGAAGAAGTAAAAATGGCCAACAGACACATGGAGAAATGCTCAACATCTCAGGCCATAAAGGAAATGCCTAAATCAAAACAACCCTGAAATAATCAGTGAGATTCCACGTCACCCCAGTTAGAATGGCCATTATCAAGAAAACAAACAACAGATACTAGTGAGGATGTGGCCAAAAGGGAGCTCTAACATACTGTTGGTGGGAATGTAAACTTGTTTAACCACTCTGGAAAGCAGTATGGAGGGTCTTCAAAAAATTAAACATGTAGCTACCCTATAATCTAGCAATTTCACTCCTGGGCATTATAGCAGCAAATCTATTGTTAAAAAAACAAAAAACAAAAAAAGTTTTTCAAGCCTGTAAACCTAACTACTCAGGAGGCTGAGATCTGAGGATCACAGTTCAAAGGCAGCCCAGGCAGGAAAGCCCATGAGACTCTCATCTCTAATAACCTACTCAGAAAACTGGAGTGGCACTGTGGCTGAAGTGGTAGAGCCTTGAGTTGAAGAGCTGAGAGACAGCACCCAGGCCTACAGTTCAAGCCCTTGTCACAACCAACACACACATACAAAAAACAAACAAACAAAAAACTTCAAATAATGAATATGCCAAAAGTACACAATTAAAAATGGACTGAAAATTACTTTCCTCTCTTCCTCCTCACTCCACCCCTACTTATTTAAGGTGGGGGTCTACATAATGTAGGCTGGCTTGAACTCACGATCCTTTACATTAGCCTCCCAAGTGCGGGGATGAGGTATATACCACACTGAATATTATTTTCTATGACAAAGTCTAAACTACCATTAACAATAATAAAAATTTTAATATATGTAGTAGAGTCTATTTATAACAGTAACTCTTATTAGGAATTAAAATCTTATTTATTTTTAATAGTTGAAGATAGCTCAGTGGTAATGCATGTGTTCAGCATGTGTGAGAAGCTGGATTCAATTCCTAGCACCCCCCTAAAAAAAAACACAGTAAAATAACAAAAACAATAACAATAAAACAAAAACAAAAACAGTTGTCACATCAAAAGCATAATCTTTATAACAAAGGAAGCAAGCATATCTCAGGTAAGTTGGACTTCAAAAACCTTTAAACTGGAGCTGGTAAGGTGGCTCAGTGGTAGAGTGCTTGCCTTGCATGCATGAGGCCCTGGGTTCAATTCCTCAGCACCACATAAGCAGAAAAAGCCAGAAGTGGTGCTGTGGCTCAAGTGGTAGAGCACTAACCTTGGGCTGAAGAGTTCAAGCCCCATGGGGCCTTAACTTTGGGGCTGGGCACTGCAAGCACTGTACCACTGAGCTACCTTCCCAGCCCCAATAACACAATTTTTAAAAATGAAAAGATTTGCTATTTTACACAAGAAAGCACATGAAGAGACGTTCAAAATCAGTTAATTAGGGAAACGGAAATCAAAATTAGGAAAAGAGACAACTTCATACCTACTAGAATAAAAGACAGACAATATGGTTAAGTTTTTTTTTGTTGTTTTTTTGGTTTTTTTTTTTTTTTTAAAGAAAAGCTGGGAACCAGGCCCAAACCAATAATCTTAGCTACTTAGAAAATAGAACTAGAAGGATTTTGGGCAAAAGTTTCTGAGATAAAAAATTAAAGATAAAAGATAAAAGCCAGGCGTGGCTGCACCCATTCTTTTTGCAGGGGGGTGAAAGGGGAGGAGGAGTGTAGGAAGAGTTGGTTATGGGACTTGGGACTTGAACTTAGGACCTAGGCATTGTCCCTGAGCAATTTCTGTAAAGGCCACTGCTCTAACACTTTTAGCCACAGTACCCCTTCTGGTTTTCTGGTGGTTAATTGGAGATGAGAGTCTCATGGACTTTTCTGCCTGTACTGGCTATGAACCACCACAGCCTCCTGAGTAGCTGAGATCACAGGCATGAACCACCAGTACCAAGCTTGCATCCATTTTTAAGATTAAAATGCACCAAAATCATTTAGGGGGGCAAATGAGGCTGGTTAGATACAAAAGGAGATATTTTGATATTTATAGTAACTATCAAAGGGCCAAAAACAAAAGTAAAAACCAGGAAGTAGCACATCTCCTTTGTAATGTTAAGTTACAAGGTAAGGAAATAAGGGAGGGCTATCTATATCTGCATTCTCTTGTACACAGGAAGAAATTGTCTAAAATCTACTTTGTTATTTTATAGGAATGGCTATCTTACCCTTGAAATGGTAAACAAACAAACACCAACAAAACCCAGGTGACTCTTCATTCTACTGGTTAAGTAAAATTAGAATGAATTGAAAGGTAAGTTTGAGAAAAGAAGTTATTTCTTTTCTTTCTTTTATTATTTTTTTTAACTTATGTAGCTTCCACATATAAGGGAAAAATTGCTTGTGTTTTGGGTGGGCTTTACCTATCTTGCCCAACAAAACTTACTGTTTAAAGATTAGGAGCATAGATATAATAGGTACAGCTTGCCATTTTGAGCTGGGCTCCAGTGGCTCAAGCCTATAATCCTAGCTACTCAGGAGGCTGAGATCTGAGAATCATGGTTCAAAACCAGCCCAGGCAGGAAAAATCCATGAGACTCTTATCTCCAATAAACCACTCAGAAAACCGCAAGTGGCAAACTCTACTATAAAGCCATAGTAATCAAAGCAGCTTGGTACTGGCATAAGAACAGATCTCAGGACCAATGGAATAGAATTGAAAACCCAGAAATGATCCTACAGACCTATAGCCAACTAATCTTCGATAAGGGAGCTAAAACAATAGAATGGAAGAAAGACAGCCTCTTCAGTAAATGGTGCTGGCAAAATTGGTTAACTACTTGTAGAAAACTAAAGCTAGATCCTTATATATCACCCTGCACCAGAATCAACTCCAAATAGATCAAAGACCTCGGAGTCAAACCAGACACCCTGAAAACATTACAGGATGGAATAGGAGATACCCTAGGTCTCCTTGGCTCAGGCCAAAATTTTCTTAATAGAGACCCGGAAACACAACAAATCAAAGAAAGGTTGGACAAATGGGATTGCATGAAGTTGCAGAGCTTCTGCATGGCAAAGGACACAGCTAACAAGATCAATAGAAAGCCCATGGATTGGGAGAAGATCTTCACTAGCCATACAATGGACAAGTGTCTCATATCTAAAATATACTTGGAACTCAAAAAATTAAATCCCCCAACAACAAATCTCCAAAGAAACAACTGCCCAATAAATAAGTGGGCTAATGACTTAAAGAGAAACTTCTCTGAAGAAGAAAGAAGGACGGCCAATAGACACATGAAGAAATGCTCAACCTCCCTAGCCATAAAAGAAATGCAAATCAAAACAACATTGAGATACCACCTCACCCCAGTTAGAATGGCTATAATCAAGAACTCTAACAACAACAGATGCTGGAGGGGATGTGGACAGAAGGGAACCTTACTTCATTGTTGGTGGGAGTGTAAACTTGTTCATCCACTTTGGAAAGTAGTATGGAGGTTCCTGAAAAGACTTCACATAGAGGGCTGGGAAGTTGGCTCAGTGGTAGAAGCGCTTGCCTTGCATGCCTGAGGCCCTGGGTTCAATTCCTCAGCACCACATAAGCAAAAGGAAAAAAGCCGGAAGTGGCGCTGTGGCTCAAGTGGTAGAGTGCTAGCCTTGAGCTGAAGAGCTGAGGGACAGTGCCCAGGCCCAGAGTTCAGGCCCCACAACCGGACCCCCCCCCCCCCAAAAAAAAAAAAAAAAGACTTCACATAGAGCTCCCCTATGACCCAGCAATCCCACTTTTGGGCATTTACCCAAATGTTTACAAACAAGACCACACTAAAGCTACCACCACAACTATGTTTATTGCAGCATTATTTACCATAGCTAAGATATGGAACCAACCCAGACTTCTCTCAGTAGATGAATGGATCAAATGTGGTATATATACACAAAGGAATTCTATGCCTCCATCAGAAAGAATGACATTTCCCCATTTGTTAGGAAATGGAAAGGCTTGGAAAAAATTATATTAAGTGAAGTAAGCCAAGCCCAAAGAAACATAGGTCCCATTGTTTCCCCTATTTGCAATATCTAGTATATGTATGAGTCAAGCAGAAAAGGTCAGATGTGATGTTAGGAAAATGAACCCTTAGATATGTATTTAAATGTCTTCTTCTTTCATGCGATTGTTTCTAAGGCATTTATAAGATTATTTCTTTGTTGCTTTGTATGTCCCTCCCCCACAGTATAACCCCTGCTTTCACTATATTTGATGTCGGTATAATTTGTGGAGGAGATGGGGAAAACAAGTAGTTTAAGGATACAGGTGGACCCGTTGCAACTATGAGAAGTACAAGTTGTCATGTCGAAAACGAACTTTACAACTATGGTGGCGGGGGGCGGGGGGGGGGGGGGGGGGGGGGGGGTGAGGGAGGATGGGGGGGAGGCTGGGAAGACATGTGAAGGGTAAACAAAGGAGGAGGCTGCAATGCTTGATAAGAAATGTACTCATTATCTTGCCCATGTAATTGTAACCCCTCTGTACAATATGTTCACAAAAAATAAAAATTAAAATTAAAAAAAAAAAGAAAACTGCAAGTGGCACTGTGGCTCAAGTGGTAGAGTGCTCACCTTGAGCTGAAGAGCACAGGGACAGCGCCCAAGCCCAGAGTTCAAGTCCTACGACTGACAAAAAAAAAAGAAAAAAAGAAATTGCCATTTTGAGGTTTTTAATTTCCATTTCCTGCATGGGGAGTAGAAAATGTGTCTCTTTCAAACATACTGCTGCTTTGCTAAAATAAATTCTTAGTAAAATTTAAAAGAACCAGGTGCCGGAGGCTCAAGCGTATATTCCTAGCTACTCGGGAGGTTGAGATCTAAGGATTGCAGTTTAAAGCCAGCCTAGGCAGGAAAGTCCATGAGACTCTTATCTCCAATTAACAACCAGAAAACCGGAAGCGGTGCTGTGCCTCAAGTGGTAGATCACTAGCCTTGAGCTGAAAAGCTCAGAGACAGTGCTCAGACCCAGAGTTCAAGCCCCATGACAGACCAAAAAAAAAAAAAATTAAAAGAACAAATTGGATGAGGTAATGTATACTTGACTGTCATCATAGCTTTGCATGAAGCATAATTAAAAGGATCAAGGTCTAGGTCAGCTCTGGAATAAACAGAAGACCCTACTTGAAAAAGGGCTAGGGACACAGCTGAAGTACAATGTCTACCCAGCCAAATGAAAAGTCCGGAGTTCAAATCCCAGTACTCAAAGGGGTAAAACGGCATGCAGGTGGGGGATGGGGGGTGGGGGGACAAAGAGAAGCAAGGCACTTCAGCCTTGAGTAAAAAAGCTATGGGAGAGAGCATAAAGTCCAGTTCAAGCACCAGTATTAGCACAAAAAAATAAAACGAAGAAAAATGTTAAAGTAATCTCAACCTAGCATTTAACTCCTTCCTATAGATATACTTCAGAAGAGAAACCACATGTCCACATAAAAACATTCATGCATGTTCATAACAGCATTTTTCATAGCCCAAAAGTACTAACTACCATAATATCCACCAACTGATGATAAATGTATTAAATCAGAAATAGAATTAGTTGGCCATCAGAAAGAAGGAAATATTAATACAGACTACAATACTGATTCCATGATAAACCTTTCATATAAAAACCATTCCATACCCTTTATAGGGTAGTTGAGAGACTAACAGAGTGACTCATGTAGTAGGACCCTGAATTCAAAACTTAGAATAGTCAAAAAATTAAATTAAATTAAGAAATCCAGAATATGGTATTAGTGGTGGTGGTTTTGCCTTTGGGTTGTTTTTGTTTTGGCTTTTCTTTTAGGAGGGACAAAAGGGGGGGGGCACAGAAATGGAAGGAAGAATGATACACAAATGCAGTCATATATTCAGTATACAGTAGGTGAAAAATGAACTACACAACTTGTAGGTAGGGACAGGAGGGGGAAACTGGGTGAAAGTGAAGGAAAGGGTAACATGGTCAAAAAGAATCGTACCCATTTACTTATGAAATTGTATAACCTCTCTATATAACACTTTTATAACAATAAAATTACAGAAAGGACAAATCTATATTGACTCAAGACAATTAGTAGCGAGGTTCAAGTTAGGAAGGATGACTAACTACAAGTGGGCAGAAAGGGTTCTTTTGGATGGAAATATTCTAAAGATCAATTATGGCAATGATTTTATTACTTTAAAATTTTCTCACAATTATTATGGAAATATATTTGAAAGTTTTTTTAAAGCTTCCAGTTGTTTCAATTTATTTGAATCCTGAAAATAAAATATTTTAATAAAGTAAGTTTTGAGAGTTGGTGCCAGTGGCTCATGCCCAAAATCCTAGTTATTCAGGAGGCTGAGATCTGAGGATTACAGTTTGAAGACAAGATTCTGTCTCCAATTAACCAGCAAAAAAAACCCCAAAAAAACTGGATTAGAGGCATGGCTCAGTTGTTTGTGGGCAAAGATCACAAAGTCCTCAGTTCAAGACTCATAAAGAAAGTTTTGTACATCAGTGGCTCACACCTGAAATCCTAGCTACTCAGGATGCTGACATCTGAAGCTCAGGGTTCAAAACTATCCTGGACAAGAACTCCATGAGACTCATTTCCATTAACCATCAAAAAACCTAGAAGTGGAGATGCAGCTCAAGTGGTAGAATGCCAGCCTTGAGTGAAAATCTAAGGTACAGTACAGTCCAGGCCAAGTCCAAGTCCCAGTGTCAGCACTAAAATAATACAGTAAAAAAAATATAGAACCATTTATAATAGTACCAGGTATATCCTTTGTAATGACTTTCCCATAGCTATAGTCCATTTAACTGAGAAATATCTTTATGAGATAAATATTAACTTTAAATACACAGATTTGGTGAAGTCAGTTTGTTACAGGAAACTGTATAACATTTATGAGTCTTAACTAGTAGATTCAAAGATACATACCTGAAATATCGGCTCTGACAATCCAAGCAGCACCCTCTGAGCATTTGTAGGGCCCAAGAATCGGTAAACAAGGGAAGACCAGCCCAGGGAAAAATGAAATACAATATCCTCTTGAAAATCTGAACATAACTTGTGGCAATTTAAGTCATAACTGAGATCAAACTTCTTGCAAGGGATCAGTGTATGAAGCTTATTTTGTATGCCAGCTGGAAGTAATGGTTTCAAATTTTCTAGAAAGAATAAAATTATTATACTTATTTTCAAAAGTTGTAATTAAATGTTTTATCATCAACAGAATATCCAAAATATAAAACCTTTTACTAATAATAAAGAGAAGGAAAACTACACACTACATTGTACTCATAAATATTACCAATAATTTCTTGCTGGGATTGAAGCATTGAAGCATTGACTTCACTGGTACACCGATCTGCTAAATTTCTTCCCATACCATCTTCTATGTGCTTATTTAATTCCTGTATAACAGTGGTAAATGTTCACATTATTTTTTCTCCAAAGTATACGTGAGTTTTTAAATACTTCATAGTAAATGCTAAAACTGCATTGTTTCTATGCTGCTGAGAATTGAACCCACAGTATCATGAATGAATGCTAAGCACATACTCTACAACTGGACCACAGCTTCTTTGTGGTTTTTGTTTCAGTTTGGTTTTGGGGTTTTTTTTGGTGCTAGTACCAAGGCTTGAACTCAGGGCCCAGTGTTCTTGCATTCCCATGGCTGGCCCTCTACCACTTGAGCCATGATTCTAGTCTGGCATTCTGCTGGCTGAGATGAAATCTTAAGACTTTTCTTCCCAGACTGCTATAATTCCTATTTTTTTTTCCATCCATTTTCTTTATAATGGCTGTTTTAAATTCTTATCTCTTTATTCTAACATCCAGCTCATTTCTCTTGTCCGGTTCCATTGATTAGTTTGCATACTGACCAAGAAGACACTGAATGGGCAAAGTATTAAATAAATGACATCTGGGTGGTGGTGGCTCATGCCTGCAATCCTAGCTACTCAGGAGGCTGAGATCTGAGGTTCGAGGTTCAAAGTCAGCCCGAGCAGGAAAGTCCATGAGACTCTTATCTCCAATAAATCACTAGAAAACCGGAAGTGGCACTGTGGCTCAAGCTGTAAAGCACTGGCCTTGAGCTAAAGAGTGCAGAGATAGCACCTAAGCCCACAGTTCAAGCCCCAAGTCCGACAAATAAATAAATGAATAAATAAATGACAATACAAATAAGATGAGGAAATTACCTAGTGTGTGTGTGTGTGTGTGTGTGTATGTGTGTGTGTCCCAGTTTTACAGATAAAATATCACAGACCTTTCTGCCCAGGCTTGCTATGAACCATGATCCATGATCCTCAGAACTCAGCTTCCTGAATAGCTAGAATTAAGGCATGAGCCAAAAGTACCAGCTTAGAAAAACTTTTAAACTAAACATTAACTTACACTTTTATACACTTTCAATACACTTGGAGTAGGATGAAACTCAGAACAAAATTCATCAACCAATACCGACAATCGACAAATTTCATCTGTCATTGCACAAGAAACCTGAAAATATTTTTAAAGAATCAGTTAAAAGAATAAAACAATTTAAATTATACAAGGGGTAAAACTGATTGGAAAACATTCACAAAAATGTCATTATAACTAAGGAAAACAATTTAGACCAATCTACACTACATAGTGAGATCCTATCTCACATATAAGATTATCAAGTACTAGAACAATCAAACTGAGAAAAAAAATACTCTTTTAAGAAATAAATTTTTTTTACTGTCATAAAAAATAGTTCATTTCCAGATATTGTGATCACACAGTTATTGTTACCTTGTTTGCCACCTCTTCAGTAACTTCCTTTATTTTTTTCTTAACATCTAATGTTAAAAGGTTCATCTGATTCCGGATAAAGTCCAATCTATCAATCTGGTCTTCCCTCTCTTCCATTGAATAAACCCTATTATATTGTAAAGACGGATCAATATCCAGAGTATATTACAATCTTAATGCAATTAAAGAGGAGCATTTATTTATGTATTAAACCTTCTATTTACATGACCCAAGGGGGGGAAATCTTTATTTCTATATCTCAATAACTGAGAGGATTCAAATAGTATTTCTTTTATTAAGTGCTATATTATAGATGATTTGATTTGAATACTGTCACTGTTTGAACTTGATTGATTAGAATTCTAAGTCTTCAAATGCTTCATAGACATGAATAGCAAAACAAAAGTGAATAGAGATTTTTAGTTCATAAACAAGTAGTAGTAAACAGTAAGTAACCTGGCAAGCCAAATCCAACTACATGCCCATTTTTGTTAAACCACTAATTGTTACCTATCATTTGTAGTTATACTTCTATCTCTATCTATCTATCTATCTATCTATCTATCTATCTATCTATCTATCTATCTATCTATCTGTGAATAAATATAACTGTTCAACTAAAACTACTGAAGTAACAGATGCAAGAGAGATAGCATGGCTCCTAAGTGTCTGGAACATTTAGAAAGTTTGTTCATTTATAGATTATACAGAAAAACAAAGACTTGAAATCCTTTTAAGAAGGTTGTAAGCTGTAAGAGTTCCCAAGACATTGTATGTTTCCCTGAACTGGCTTAAACTTACTTAAGTTCCAGTCAAGGCTATATCTCATAACTTTTGCCACATTTAATATATCTTGATCTTTGTTTTAAGTGTACCACATTTGTAAGAACTATACTTTCCTGTGTTTCTTTTTTCTTCTTCCTTCTCCTCCTCCTTCAGTCTTTTAGCGATAGTCTTGCTGAGTAGCCATGCCTCACCTTGAACTCATAATCCTCCTGTCTCATACTCTCAAGTTACTAAGCAAAGCGCCCACCCCCCCACACACGCATGCACGCGCACTCGCACTTGCACGCGCGCGCACAACACACACTTTTTTTTAATATTTATTTTTGCCAGTCCTGGGGCTTGAACTCAGGGCCTGAGAACTGTCCCTGACCTTCTTTTGCTCAAGGCTAGCACTCTACCACTTGAGCCACAGCACCACTTCTGATTTTTTGTTTTTATGTGATACTGAGGAATCAAACCCAGGACATGCTAGGCAAGCACTCTACCACTAAGCCACATTGCCAGCTCCGCAAAACTATATTTTTCGCAAATCATATTTCAGGCAATAATTTCCAAATCTATAAGACTGGGTCATGGGTTAGATGAAAAAAAGATCACTTGATCAGGACTTCTTCCTAAAATGCTGCTTGAAGAAATGATTCTTATACTGCTTTAAAGATACTGTAAAGCCACTAAACATTGTGAAGTCACAATTTATATACACAAGAATACTGAGATCCTGACATGTCTAAAATTATGAAATTAATATTTTACTTTCAAATGTGCATCTAAAAATATACAAGTAGGTACCAGTTACTTCCACAAAGTTGATTTTCGTGTAGAAAATACTTATAGAACAATTTAAAACCTTAGATTTGACACAAAAATCTAATTCTTTTATGTTGCAATAAAATAAACTCATACCTTTTCTCTGCTGCTGCCACGTTTATTGAATCCATTATGTTTTTCACAGTATCTAGTATCTGTTTAGCTCTGATAGTGTGCTGTTCAAACTTTGTTTTCACTGCTGACTGCGAGATACACTCCTGCGAGGGGCCCAAGCCATAACACATTACTGTAATTCCATCACAACATTTCAGGAATTTAAACACAAAAACTTGCTGGTTATAATTTAAACCAAAACAAAAATAAGTATAGAAGATAAACACAAAAAACACAAGTTAGAATTATATAAGTTAAAAAAATTAAAAGATTCAAAGTAAAAAGGGCATTAACAGCAAGTTTATTTCTTTGTGTATTATTACACAGTAATGTGGAATGGTTTGACTATATATTAAAACATAAACAAAGGGTAAAAAATAAAGGGTACTATTTCCAATGTTAAAAAAGCTTTCTCCATCAGAATCACCAAATAACCTATTCGAATCACCTGTAACCAAACCGTAGCCTATCTTGGTTTCATATTTGCAATAGATAATCTACCTAAGTTCTTGAGTTATGAGTTAGAATTTTTTATTTAAAAAGTTAGTTTGAGAATATTATGATTCATTTATGACTACAGAAAAAGATTTCTATGTATTTAAATGTAAACAGTTTAAAACATTCTTTTGTGCGTGTGAGATTGAATTCAGTAAAAACCTTTTGCTGTCCCTCAGTTTTCTTGATCATGGCTGACATTCTACCACTTGAACCAATTATTTCCAATCCAGTGTTTTGTTAGTTACATGGAGATGGAGTCTCATGGGCTTTTGTACCTAAGCTCAATTCAAACCTTAGCCATCTAGGTCTCAGCCTCAAGAGTAGGTAGGATTACAGGTGTGCTACCAGGATCCAGATGAAAATTATCTTTAACTTAATATTTTAAGTTGTTTATGAGAAGTTATAATTAGAAGAGAGAATACATCAGAATACATCACATATAGTGATGTACATAACTATTTTGTAAAATTTTTGTCTCAATTTTCAACATATGCAACGTATCTATTTTTATCATGATTCATGATCAAAAGCTTACTTTTTTATATTACAATTGGGCTCATTTTATTTTTTGCAACATACAAAGTCAAATTCTGCAATGATAAAACATTAGCAAACAACTGTAACTGTTTATAAAAACATACTACCTGGTTTTTAAGCAATCTCAGAAATGCTAAGTAATGCTAATTGTTACAATAGATTATTTTGCTAGAGTCATAATTATTTCTTCTCTGTTTCCTCTGTCTCCCCCCACCCCCACACTCACTTAATTTGGTGGCTTTTTTCCTCCTATGTAGGCATTCTACCACTTGAACCTTGGGCTTTTTTTGGGTTATTTTTTGTACAGGATCTTGTATTTTCACCGGGGCTGGCCTTGGACCTAGATCCTTCTACCTAAGCCTCTCATGTAACTGAGACTAGAAAGAGGCACTACCATACTTGGCATTTGTTCAGGCTGGCCTCAAATTGAAATCCTTCCAATCTCCACCTGTTGAGAAGCTCAAATCAATTAGAGATGTGTGCCACTACACCCATCCCATTTATTCTCTATGAAAAAAAAAATATATATATTTTATTTTTTTTTGTCGGTCATGGGGCTTGAACTCTGGGTCTGAACTCTTTTCCTCAGCTCTTCAGTTCAAGACTAGTGCTCTACCACTTGAGCCACTGTGCCACTTCCAGTTTTCTGAGTGGTTTATTGAAGAATAAAAGTCTCATGGACTTTCCTGCCCCGGCTGGCTTTGAACCTTGATCTTCAGATCTCAGCCTTCTGAGTAGCTAGCATTACAGGCATGAGCCGCTAGTGCCTGGCATTTTTTAAACTAGGGATATATGTAATTTCTCTAATACTGTTATGAGTTCATGTTCTCAAACCTCTTTATATATTCAATATAAACTGTGGTAACGACTTTCTGAAGTGCCATACTTCCCTTGTCAAAATAAGCAGCTTTCAGGGGCTGGGAAGGTGGCTCAGCGGTAGAGTGCTTGCCTTGCATGCATGAGGTCCTGGGTTTGATTCCTCAGCACCACATAAGCAAAAAGAAAAAAACCGGAAGTGGCGCTGTGGCTCAAGTGGTAGAGCGCTAGCCTTGAGCTGAAGAGCTGAGGAACAGCGCCCAGGCCCAGAGTTCAGGCCCCACAACCGGACCCCCCCCCCCCAAAAAAAAAAGTAGCTTTCAAGCTTTAAAAGGTATTCATTTAATTCTCTACTAATGCATTTTTTATTCTGAAATCATTGGTGTTTTATGGTCATATTAAATGTACTACTTATAACCTAACCTATATTTAGACTGTCTTTGAATTATTGTGTGCTCCATTCAGACAGAAAGAGCTGATAATCTTTTCACCACATTGGCTCCTTTCTTCATTATTTTCTTTGAAGTACTAAAAAAAACAAACAATTGCCCTCTCTAGGTGTAAGGCATGTGATAACTTATTTAGTCAATCATTTATATAGACAACTCAGAGTCCATTCTTTAATCAAATCATCTAGCTTCACTTCTGTCTAGGAAGATCATTTATGCCTTACTCATCTTCACTGATCTTTGAAGGATTAGGGATTAGTTACAGTATTCCTGTGCTGGTAAATGTTCCACAGATTTCTTCTTTATAATATCCAACAATTACCCAACATATGTAAACATTTAAATTATAAACTATTTTTAATGATAAACACAGCTCCAATTTATTTTCAAATAATTCTGCTTTATAAATACTCATCCACAAAAATTACAGAGAAAACACAAAAATAATTTTAAAAGGAAAAAGTTAAAAGAAATTCTAAATTCCTCGATGAAGCAGATCTAGATATCAGCAATGAAGGTCCAAATATGTAGATAACAGCACATTGTTAGAGCTAGACTAGACAGAAACAAAAAGATCTCAGAAGTTATTAGGCAATATGTTACCTTCTGATACAAAAGGATATGGTGAAGAATATAAAAGGAAAAAAAATATTTTCCTAATTAAAAAGCACCCCACACTGGTATTCCTATTTACCTGCAGGATACTGAGAGACAATCTGGAAAACTAATAGTGAAGGAATCTCCACTGGAAACATACAGTGTACATAGTTGAGATTTTAATTTTTCCAAAGGCTTAAAATAGTATACCAAGCCAAATTTTAGTTCCATCTTGTCAGAATAGTCTACAGAGTGCTTTAAGACTTATTAATGATTGAAAACTTAACTGATAATCGAATCCCAATTCATTTTTTGCTTTCTTAGTAACATCTAAAGAAACAAATAATTAAGCAGTCAGTAAAGCACTTTTTGTTAAGAATATGTAAGTAAAACTTAAAGCCAATAAACTTGTCACTTCTCATCAACTTCGTAAATATATTGAAATAAGAAAAGTGTACAGAAGAACACCAATATACTTTTTATTTAGATGTTAACATCAAGCTTCCTTTGTTTACCTGTTCCTCTCCTCTTTTTACTACATATACACATACACACAAAGATATATCCATCCATCCATCTGAAACATAGTCTCACTAAGTTGCCTAGGCTGGTCTTGAACCCCTGTTTTAAGCTGCTTTTGCTGAAAAGCTTGACATCTCTGCATTGCATGTGTGTCTGCTCAAACCATTCTCCCCACAATCACTTTGTCTTTATGTTGGGTTCCAAGGACAGAACTGATATTATCTTCTGACAAGGATCCAAAACTATCCTTAAGTAACAATAGAGAGAGCCTCCCCAAGATAAATCACTCACCTGGCTACAATGACTTGCTTATCCTTACCAGTGAAGACAAAGACAACTTCTCCAGAACCATCCACCAAACAAGAACTAAAATAATGACCAATCACAATCAGGTCATACTTTGACCAAAAGTGTCTTAACTCCCCATGTTCCTTTATTTAAAGCTAAAGCTCTTGTAAGTATCCAGAAGATTGACTAGAGTTGTTTTGCCCTGGCATTACCAAGTAATAGAACAGATCTCTTTTTACTGTACTTCACCGTCTATTTATTTAGCATAAAGGGTTAGTGGCCAGATTTGATACATAGAACTCCTGGTGTTTGGGCCTGGAGCCAAAAAACTCCAGTTTTCTGAGTTGCTGGACTACAAGTATGCATGCTTCATACTTATATAGTTAGGACTCATCATAACCTCAGTAAGGTCTACCTGGGGGAAGGCAAGGCAGACTCTTCCCTTCTCTTGGCTAAATCTCTACCCAGTACTTATGTCACCCAGGTAACTGGTATCCCTGGAGGTCACATCCTGTGCCGTCCCATCCAACTGGGGGAGTGTCATAGACTAAGGTCACATCCAAATCTGGTGTGGCCACACCTTCCCTCACCTGGCCCCACCTTATCCCCACCCCTTCCCTACTTAATCCAGACCAGACCTTCAGTCCAGTGCTCTCTACCATGCATGGTGGGGCAGAAGTTCAGTAAACTTCCCTTCCTGTTTGAATACAGTGTGGTATTCTCTTCATCAGCAACCTATTTTAATTTACCTTACAATTACTAAACACTACAAGTCAGGTTTGGTGAAACACCTATAGTCCCTGTTATCTTGGAAGCTGAGGTAGAACAGTAACTTACCAGTTGGAAACTTGAGACCTCAACTCAAAACAAAAATATCATTATCTGTCTTCTAAGAAAGTATTTCCCTATGTAATCATGAACTATTTTCAAAACACCATTTGGACACATCTACTGCCTAATACAATCTATGTTCAAAATTTACCGAGCACCCCAAGAATGTCCTCTATAACAAATCCTGACTATTTAGAAAAAAGAGATTATGCCTCTTTCCTAAAGATGAGGCTCAGTGGTAGAGTACAAAAGCTAAGCAAGCCTTGAGTACAAATGCTAAGCAAGAAACCATGAGTTCAAGCCCCAGTACTGGCACAAGAGGGAAGGAGGGAAGGAGGGAAGGAGGGAAGGAGGGAAGGAAGGAAGGAAGGGAACGAAGGAGGGAGGGAGGGAGAGGAGGGAGGGAGGGATAGCTATAAAATTACAATGAAATAAATGGGGGAAAAAGTACATCAGAATGTACAACTTGTTTGTAAAATATCACTTATTCAAATGCAGCTTAAAGAGACTAAGAGTTGGGCATGTTGGCTTACATACATAATCCAGCAATTTGGAAGGCAGAAATG